GAGCTGCCTTAGCTGTTGGGGTGCAGGCTCGGCTGTTACTGCGCCTGGCTGCTGCGGGATGTTTCCCCGTGCGGTGCTTGGTGACGTCTCGCTGTGCTGGGCTTCATGTTGTCTTTTGTGGGCTGCTGGAGCGGTCTGCATCATAGCTGTTGTGTCATCGTCCGGGTCCGGGCCGGTTGGCGGCGGCGAGGGTGTTGGCGAAGGTTCCGGGTTGGCTCGCCCGCCGAGGTTGCGTCTGTCGCGAGCTTGCGGGTAAAAGTGTGGATCCTCCGGTGGGGCGGTAGGCGGGCTGCCCGGTTTGCGGTCTGGTTGTCCGCGCCGGAGCGTGCGGCCATCCTGGAGTGGGTTCCGGTCTTGCTGCTTCGGCTCTGGTGCCTGGTTTTGGGCTTTAGTTCGCGGTGGCCCATAAAAGGTTTGTGGCTGTTGGGGGTGTGCCTCGGCATTGTGTTCCCCCTGTTCGTCACGTGGCTGTGGGTCCGTGGAAGAGGCGGCTGTGCTATGGTGGAGTGCTGTTGTCTGTGGATGGCTGTGCAACTGCTGGGGCGGTGGGTCCGAAGAGGAGGCAGCCTGGGAGGGGGAGCCGGTGGGCGGCATTCCCCGAAGTTGTCGCTGCTTTGTCCCCCGTGTGCGGATGTAATCCCGGGCTTGCTTGACCTCCTGTGGAGGGCTGGGACTTTCCTGTGCCATCTCGATCTCCCATCGCCCGGCTCTCCCCGCTTGGATGGAAAACTTGTCCCCCGCTGCAAGGAGGAAACTGTGTGCTTCTGTCATGTCGATGGGTGGTGCCTCAATGACAAAGACATACCACAGTCTGTCGCCGCCGATGGGGCACAGTCGGAGCCGTGTGCCCGCCCCGAACTTTGGCGCTCTGTCGAGGGGTCCACGATCCCCCGCGATGATAACGTGGAGTTCGAAGTTGGCCTGTTCATCCACGTGTGTTCCCCCGAAATTGGGGATAAAGTCCGGGCGGAACTCGATGGCAATCTCCCAGCAGTCGTTGTTGAGTCTATAGATGGAGTAGGTGCTGTCAGCAGTGGTGGGGATGTCCGGTGGCCAAGTGAAGTCGTCCTGCTCCTCGACCGTGTGTTCTGCGGGCTGGGTGTCCCCCGTGGCTTCTGCTTCCGGGTGCTGAGCTTCCGTGACGGTATGCATTGAGTCGGGGGCGTCTGCCGGCCCAGGGTCGGCGTTGTCAGCTCGCTCCACGGCCGATTGGTCGGGCTGCGCCGGGGCGTCGGTCGTTGGGGGTTCTCGGGGGAGCAGGTGCTTGTTGAGAAGCGTCTTCCAGTCGTCTTCGGCTTGGTTGCTGGCTTTGTTCCCCGTGTTACCAACATGTGGGTCTGTACTGGTGTGGGACCGGAAGTGTGGAG